TGGTCCATGGATACACTGATCCTTGATGGAAAGAGTGAGATTTCATCAATTAACCTATTTTCTAATCCTAAATTTACCTGAGGTGGATCTGGATCTGTGAGTCACACGTATTTGGATTATTCTGTGGTTTCAAGCAATGGCTGAAAACAAAAACAATGCTTTTTTATATCATTTTATATCATTTCTGATATCCTATAGTAGACATAGACAATTACATTTTCAATAACACATTTCCATAACCTCCACTTATGCCTCCTAAAATTTCTGCCCCGCTTTGTTACGTAATGAATGAGTTTCATCTATACTCCTGAGGTTTGAAACAGGACTTACAATTGGAGCCACAGGATGAACAGTGAGGACAGGGAATCCTGTATATCCAGTAACACCAAAGTCAACTGAGCTAACGTCACCCAGAAACACTGCCATTTTTCCGTATAATGTTCATGGTTCTTTTTCTTTGATGATTCCAATAAAGAGTCTAAATTGTTTTCATACGTATGGCGCCAACTTTCCTTAAGTCCACACTCCATTCTCCACTTATACTCTCAACCCTTTACAAGGGAAATGCAGAAGCCCTCAGAAGGACCTTGCCTATCTCCTCAACAGAACACCCACCACCATCTTTTCCTTCTCCTCCTCATACAATGGTTGGGTCCTCCTGGTGTGATCATCATGAGTAACCTTCAAAAGCTTCTCCCTTAAATCTCACCATTTCTATTTACCATCAAATACTGGTCATTTCTAATAGATATTTCCTCCAGTATTATAACATGATCTAGTCTTCAGACATAATTGCCTTTAATTATCTCCACAAATGCCAAAACACTTTTTTAATGCTGATGATGTAACTTTTTTTTTCTTTTCTAGGTTGAGTAGACCCTATCAACTCATTCCCACCCACTGAAACAAAAATACACCTACTATATATCCCTCTATGTAAACGTGAATTTATGTCAGTCTGCTTCAGGATCCCCAGCCCATTGAGGCCAAGACAGATCTTTCTGCATCTGTTCAAACTCAGGCTCAGACACACCTGGTGGGTCATAGGCTCACCTGGTTCTGGATGTTGGATGCCATCTCTTCATCTCCCCTGTCACACAGCACATCAGCTCACTTTTCCAGATCTTAACCAGAGGATCCAAATATGTCCTGTTATTCTGGTTCATCCTTCTTTGCTTGACTCTCCTATTATCTACATTCAGGCAGGCAAATTCATTATTTTTATACTCCTACTATCATTGGAAGGCCAGTAGTGATATGGTGCATTCAGGGCTCTGCCCACAAAATAGTATCGAGGAAAGGGCTTTTCAGAGACAACTGATTCTGAATTAGTAAGGGTACTTGTGAGACTACTGGGCTCAGAGAGAGTAGATCTGACCCAGTCCCACAGGTGTGACATCTCAGGGCAGGAGTGGAGCAAGTGTTACATGTGCAAAGGTGTGAGTCAGATATGAGGGCTGCACTGGGGCCTTTCTCGTTCGAAGGAGAGGTAATACCACTGACAACATTGATGACAGCATTTCACACCAATAGTACCTAAGTATAAATTTCACATTGTTTTCCCAAATTTATATCCTTTTAGATTGAAATGCGGAGGGATGAGGCCACCTCCTCTGTCACACAGTGAGGAGGATGGAACTGTGCTCTGCCCTCCACCATGACTTACTCATATGATCTCAGATACAGCCCCAGGATTCAATGACAGAGGGATGTGGGAAAGCAGCTGTCAGGTGGGGTTTTCAAGGGAACCTGCTTCCTGTGGAGGGAGCCTCCCTCTGCCCATGAGGAGCTCATCCCTTCTGCAAGCCAGTCACTGTGAAGGTGAATTTCTGAGAATCACGCCTATTCTCTCATGCAATGTGATCAAAACCATGTTGAATTCAAAATTCACTGCTAGTGAATCAGAGAGCAAGAAATAGATACTTCTAGAATGCGTGAGACTGTCCACTGAGACCAGGTGCTGGCCCAACACGCAGAGTGCTGAGGAGCTCCACCAGCTCTCTGTCTGAGTGGGGTCCTGAGAAGGGCTGGGAATTCCTCAGTGTCCACCCCCAGGGACAGAGTCCTGAGGCTCACGGAGTTCTTGCAGATACTCAGTTGTGCACAGGAAAAAAGCAGGATTAGGTCCCTACTGGCCATGTCAACAGTGCTAGGAAAGATGACCATCTCAGCAGAAATGTTTACCTTGTCCAAAAATAAACAGCATGGTTAGTGTTATGAATAAATCCACCTCCATAGCAATGATGGAATATACCTAGGAGTGAAGCTGTTTCAGGTGAAGAAATGTTCACCAAATTAAATGAGCCAATAAAGCTGTTGTGAATTATGATAAACATTGGATTGTACTCAGCTTTGTCTGAATGCAGTGTGATAATTACATTTAGCTGATATCCCCAAACTTTGAAAGTCCGTTAAATAAACATGAGATAATGCAGAGGGGAAGTGGATTGGCATGGAAGTCTGACAATTTAGAGGTGGGTATTTGATAAAACGAAGATACACACATCTCCATGGGAGTAAAGGCACAGTGACTCTGTTCCCAAAGCTGTCGTTCATCCTTGACCACATCCGATCTCCTGAGCAGATCCTTCAGCACATTCCCTGGCCTGGAAGAAGATGCCCTGGGCATGGTGAGGGGAAGCCCAGAGAGGACTGAGTTCTCTGAGGGCAGAGTCAGCATGCTCCTCCCAGGGAAGCCCAGAGACAAGTACTCTCCTAGCTTCTTTATCCTTTTTATAGAAAGGCACCTCCCTTATGCAAATCTCCACTCAGGTCATCAGATGAAAACAAAGTACACAGTCACTTAAATTCGGGTTCCTCCTCTCCCTTGAAAATATTTTCTGGAGTCATGGATCTCATCTGCAGGAACATGAATCACCTGTGGTTCTTTCTCTTTCTGGTGGCAGCTCCCAGATGTGAGTGACTCAGGGACCCAGACATGAAGATTTGGGGACACTGCATCTGAGCACATGACTCACTGTGTTTTTCTTTGTCCCCAGGTGTCCTGTCCCAGGTGCAGCTGCAGGAGTTAGGACCTGGCCTGGTGAAGCCCTCGCAGACCCTCTCCCTCACCTGTACTGTCTCTGGGTTCTCTTTAACCAGCTATTATGTGGGCTGGATCCGCCAGGCTCCAGGAAAAGGGCTGGAGTGGGTTGGCGTTACACGGGGTAGTGGAAGCATATACTATAACCCAACTCTGAAGTCCCGACTCAGCATCACCAGGGACACCTCCAAGAGCCAAGTTTATTTAACACTGAGAAGCCTGACAGGCGACGACACGGCGGTGTATTACTGTGCAAGATACACAGTTAAGGGAAGTCAGTGTGAGCCCAGACAAAAACGTCCTGCAGGAAGACAGGAGGGGCTGGGCTACATGGGGCAGTCCTGACCACCAGCGGCTGCTCAGGACCCACTGAGCACAGGGCTGAGACCAGGAGCAGGTGCAGAGGGAGGTTGGAGGGGTGTCTACTGAGAATCTGTGGTTTCCTCTTTCTGTCCAGGGACTCCACCAGAGACCCTATTCTGGGTCCCTTTTGGCCAATGTTGTGTTTTATGTTGCCTTCAGAAGATAATATTATTATTACTAAGGAATTAGAATGGGCTATCTCCCCTTATTTTTCTTCTTCTCGAAGTAACTACATACAACACTAGGGTAACCGTAGTTTTCAATTTGAGTCTGAAGTCTTGGAACTTGGTGAACGTCCTGAGAAGCCTAGAGGATTTTAAATCCTGTGTGAATTGTTCTTCGTGTTTGTTTTTGTTCACGAAGAAGGAGGGCCCACACCCTCCAGCCTTGTGAGCACTGCACACGTAAGTTGACTATTCTGCAATATGCACTGTCACAGACTTGTAAAGCCAGAGTGCCCCAATATCAGGTACACAATGACCCTCAGTATTTATGGATTCCATATTTCAAATTCACCTCTTCACTAAAATTTACTTGCTCTCCGAGATGAAAACTGTCATTGTATTCATGTGCATTCACGGAAACTTACAGAGCGCCCAGTACTTTGAGTCACACAACACACGCAAATTCCCAGCTGAGGTCACACAAGGTGGTTTTCTGCCTTCTTTTTTCAGCTCCATCAGGTAATCAAGTTCCTTTCAAGGACAACTTGGTGCCATGTTTTTCACATTTTTGTGCTTTCAGTTGGCAGTTTCCCTGTTTAAAGTGGCCCCATGCATAGCGCTGAGGTGTTGACCGGTGTTCCTATGCACAAACAGGCTGGAAAGTGCCATAAGGAGAAAATATATACGGAGATAAGCTTCATTCAGGCATGACTTGTACTGCCCTCGGCCATAAGCTCCGAGCTAACGTGTCAAATAGAAATCACATCCACGTAAGAGGAAGAAGAAACTCACTGCATTTGAGGCAGCCCTGGAAACTTGGGTCACTGCCAACACAGCAGGAAAAAATGGAGATTTATGGCCAAGAAGCATGGAGCAGGGAGTGGATGGAAGGTTATGAAGAGGAGACACAATGGCTGGGGTTTTGGCTAGAAGACCGACTCCACAGGATTCTTCTGAAGGGAGGCCAGGTCATCAGATTTCACCTGAGGATAGCAAGGATGGTGCATCTGATCAATATGAGGGTAAGCATATGTCAAGAGAGGGGATCTTCATTAATTTGATTAGCAGGATTCTTGATAAAACTAGGCTAGAAAGGTGGACACAGAGCCCAAATGTCGAGACCTAGTTGAGAAGAGCATTCCGAGGAGCCTAACTTAAGTATGGTCAAGGAGTCTGCCGTCTTGTAAGAAGAGGAACAGTGGACACAGAGACACCAGGGATGCACACGCACGGAGAATAGTCCTTCTGAGGACTCAGTGACAAGGTATCCATGTGCAAGCAAAGGACAAAGGCCTTAGGAGAAACCAAACCTGACAACACTTTAATCTGGACTTCAGGACTCCACATATGTGAGACTTAAATTTCTGTTGTTTAAGCCACCCAGTCTGCTACTTTGTAATGGCAGTGCTAACAAATTAATGCACAAGTGATACAGAAGCAAAGACGAATATTTGGGTAATATTCCAGGTAAAATCTATAGTTGAAAGTACAGAGAGATACAGTACAGAAAAAAAAAGTAAATAAAATACTGAGAAAAAATACATTTGTTTTTCAGTCCTAGAAGTAAAAGATAGAGATATCATTGAAAAAAATAACGAGGACCAGAAATTTGTGATCTTTTTAAATGAAAATATACCAAGTAATAGATTCAAAGCATGCCTAGATATTTTTAAAAACCTAGCAGAGATTCAAATCCCTTATGAAAGTCATGTAGTTATCAGAGCACAGCGATGTTCACAGAGACACAGTAGAGCTGAGGTCTGACTGCTCAGTGTAAATCAGAAAGGAAGTCATAGTCAATGGAGTGGAACCATTCCAATGAACGCGGTCATGTAGGCATTTCCAAGGGTCATCTCCTCCACATAAATATAAAAGACTCAAACAAGACCATCAGAATCAACTTTGTCAGAACTGTAGAGAACAGTCAAATATTTACAGTAACCAAGCAAACACTGAATCAAGAAAGACCACTTAGAAGTAGTAGGAGGGGTTGTCCCAGTGACGTGGTAGTTAAGTTCACACACTCTACTTTGGCAGCCTGGGGTTCGCAGGTTCAGATGCCGGGCATGGACTGGTGCACTGCTTGTCAAGTCACGCTGTGGCGGTGTCCCATATAAAGTAGAGGAAGATGGGAATGGATGTTATCCCAGAACCAATCTTCCTCAGCATAAAGAGGAGGATTGACAATGGATGTTAGCTCATGGCTCATCTTCCACACGCACACACAAAAACAACTGGAAGGAAAGGCGTGTGTGTGCATTTCCATTCTTATAAAATGTCCAGAATAGATTACCCACAGACACAGACAGAAGAGTGGTGATGGCGAGAGGCAGGGGTGGGGAGATGAAGAGTAAATGCTTACTGAGTGTGGTGTTTCCTTTTTGGTTATGAAAATGCTTGGTCTTAGATAGCGGTGATGGTTGCATACCAGTGTGAATGCACTAAATGCCACTCAATCGCTCACTTCAATGGGATCGATTTTATGTTATGTGAATTTTACCTTAATATTGTTGTTTTTAAAAAGCAATGAAGTTGTATTCAATAAGGGACAAAAGGCAAAATTTATGTATATGAAGCAAAAACTTTTCAAAATAAAATAAAATGTACACTGATTTTCCCTCACTCATTTTTCATGTCTTCTTGAATTTCATCTGCTGTTAATTCATCCGTTGAATTTTTGTTGCTAACTACAGATATCATGTTTCTTATGTATAGAATGACTATTTGATCTCTCTGATGCAGTTTAACTACTGAAGTACGTGTTCATTCTTTTATGTATTTAATCCACCAGTTTTTATATTTTCTTGAGCATATTAAACACATTTATAGTGGAGTCTTTGTCTTCTCCATATAGGAATCACCTTTGTGTCTCTTTTTCACATATTTTCATTTAATTATTATTCATTTACCACTGTTTCTTCATATGCCTTGTTATATTTTATTGAATGCGGGTCACTGTGTAGTCAGAGGGATAGAAGGCCCAGTAGTGAAAACTTCCCTGTAAAATGAATTCAGCTAAAATTATATTTCAAGTAAATTCATTTGAAATTAAACTAAATTTATAATTCCAACAACTACAATAAATTCTAGAGAGGATTAAAAATGACTTTCCCTGGAATTTGTTTTATTTTATCTTCCAGAGTAAAAATAATCATAAATAAAACACTTCAGACATCATGGGTTAATAACTGAGAATAATTGACTAGATCTATAATTACAAAAGTGAATTTATGAACAATTTTGACATTTCTTCCTTCAACACTTGCAAATAGCTCTTGAAATGGTTGTGCCCAATGACCTTTCCTCTGGAGTGTAGTAGATCCACATCACCACGACCCCCTATTCCACACTACAAACATGTAAATCCTTGATTTTCACACCTAGATCATGTTTGGTGACTCCACATTTAATCTAGAATCTCGCCTTCCCTCCTGCTATGTCTACCCTCAGGAGAGACCATCTGTGAAAAGCACAGACCTACTGTGGAGAAGTGTCCAGGACACAAGGTGTATGTGGATGTTGTCTTTGTCCCCACAAGGGCTTCCCTTGAGCTCCATTCTCTGCCTCTGTGAGCAAAATAAAGAAGATAAGACAGACTGGAAAGAACAATTAACCCAGAATTCACTGCAGATGCTGTGTGCCGGTGGTGTTTGAGGTGCTATAAAGTCCAGCTCAAATCACAAATGTGCAGAACGAGTGGAGCACAAAGCTTGCCAATAGCTCACAGAACAACCACAGTGTAACAATGTAACAACGCCTAGAGGGGATGAGGACCCCACCACAGGAGAGTGTTCGGGGAAAGAAGGCAGGAGCTGTGCTGGGCTCAGCACTGAGGAAGCGAGACCCAGGGCCTGAGTGGATGGGGGAGAGTCGAGCTGAGATCAAGGAAGGGCAGGATGGAGGAGGGTCTGGAAGGAGAGAAGCTCTGGGCTCAGACAGTGGGACCAAAATTGACTTGTTTCCAAGGATGCTCAGATACCAAATATCAAGGACTCTCTTTTCCTGGGTTACACAGAACATGAACACAAGAGAAGTGACACATGCAGGATCTCTGCAAAGACCAGGGTGAGCTTGACATCGGTCCCTCCTCACTTATAAGAACAGGTCTCCCTACATGCAAATTTCTATTCAATCTCTAGGGACAAGTCCACTCTTGGGCTGTGGCAGCTCACAGCACTCTCCTCATACACAGCCAAGGTCTCTGGGGAAGGCAGAGCTGTGGTCTAGAAGAAGATGAGACTGTTGTGTCTTCTCCTTTTCCTGGTGATGGCTCCCCAATGTGAGTGTCTCTGCTGTCAGACCTGGGTCTATGGGGATGGTCGTGACTGCTTGTGACTGACAGGGCCTGATTCTCCTTGTCCCCAGGTGTCTTGTCCCAGGTGCAGCTGCAGGAGTCGGACCAGGACTGGTGAAGCTCTCATAGACCCTGTCCCTCACCTGTGCAGTCTCTGGTTACTCCATCACCAGTGGTTATTCTTGGAACTGGACATGTCAGCCCCCAGGGAAGGGCCTGGAGTACATGGGACAAAGAGATTATGATGGGGACACATACTACAATCCTCCATCAAGAGCCTCACCTCCATCTCCATAGACACATCCAAGAACGGTTCTCCCTGCAGCTGAGTTCTATGACCACCGAGGACACGGCAGTCTATAACCATGCAAGAGACACAGTGAGGGGAAGTCAGTGTGAGCCCAGACACAAACCTCCCCGCAGGGTGGGAGGAGGGGTTGGGCTGCAGGGGGCATTCATGACCTCCAGTGTGTGTTCAGGGCCCATGGAGCACAGAGACCAGACCCAAGAGCAAGTACAGATGGAGGTTAAGGTTTCCTGCCAGGATCTGGGGTTTCCTCTGCATCTGTTTCCACAGTCTGTTTTATTCTGATTACAGCCAAGACAGTCTAGGCCAGGACCAGTGCCCTAGGGAACCCAATGGAAATTACATTAGACCCTCCTCCTCATCCAAAAACATCCACATCAGACTCGTCACTGAACACTGAATGCTGATCAGATGGTCTCTTTTTTGTCAATCGATTTTCTTTCTCCCTAATCTTTGTTATTCCAAGTCCTTTTCTCATTCTCCTCCCTGAAAAGAAGTGATGGGATTTCTGTGTCTAAATCCTGGCGGATCAGGGCCTTTACCTGGAGCTCAGGTGTGACTCAGACTGTGGAGCCTCCAGGTACCTGGAAAGGCTGATGGGACTCTCACTCATCATTGCCCTGGACCCTCCTGTGCCCTCTGTGCAAGGACTCATTGGGAAATGTAAGTGGACATTAGTAGTCAAAGGGGACTGTCTGTTTGGTCAAAATGGGGTGTTGGTGTTGATATGTGTTGCTCACACTGTTGTGAAGTCACCACCCTCCCCTGTGACTTTGAGGTGGGCTGCTGATGGACACCTCAGGTGCTGAGAGCTCTGGAGGGTGGACATTGTGGGCTGTGTAGACACACCCAATGTCCATAGGACCCAACATCAGGAAAGCTGGGCTGGAGCTCTCGGGCAAGAGATGAGCCTTCTGTCCACCACGGAAATTCCTCCTCTTCAGTTCTGCTCTGATTGAATCCTGCTCAACCTGGTATCTAGGATAATGTCCTATCTTAGAGTAAATAATGATAGGCTATAATAACATCTACAAAACACCTTCAGAGGAGCATCTAGATTAGTGTTTGCCTGAATAACTGGAGAGGAGAGCCCAGACAAGCTGACACATACAACTGATCACTGTATTGGTTATTGTATATTAGCCGAAAATAACAGGGATCATATTATCAATTACTTTGTTAAAATGTTCTTTTCTTTTATTCTGGGTTTCCTATAGAGCAGTCACTAAGACTGGATTTGCATGGAATTTTTTTCTTTTTTTAGGAAAACATGTTTGTGAGAGAACATGCCGAGGGAGGCGGTGACGCTGAGAGACATCAGCCCCCAATGCGAGTCTGACCCCGGTGAAGGAGAGAGGGAGGGAGGGTTCGATGGGGTTTCCTAAACTCCCCTGCAGTCCAAGGAAGGTCCAGAAAGGGCACTGGGGTGTGTGTGAGCCAAAGCTGTCCTTCAAGGACCCCAAGTCTCCCTGTACCAGCCCTGCCTCAGGATCACTGCTGCACCCAGTCGTTCCCTGGGGCGGGTGACAGCACTCGAGGGCTCAGCACAAACAGGGGGCGGATTCAGGGAGCAGAGCTGGGAGCTCCACCCATGTGCTCCTGTATTTCCATATGTGTGCTGCATTCCCAGGACCAACACTGTTTTCGGCTTTTAGTAAGAAAGTATGTGTTTACGTGATTCTCTTGGGTCACATATAGAAGCAAATATGTGGTCTGCAAACAATTGCAATTTCCACATCTACCCCAAATGTGGTCCTTCCTTATCTGTGTTGTATTCCAGTCCAGAGTGGCCTTTCTCATGAGGAACTGTAAATGTGGGGTGACGACTCTCCTTCCCCGCTCTCACTGGTTTTTCTCATGTACAGAGACCTTGAGTAGAGCAGGTCCCAACCTCACTCACACTTTCCCTCGTCTCCCCAGTGGAAGAACTGAGATGCACATAACTGCAGAATGGGAGAGGGGAGATGGTCCTCCACCCTCAGAGCCTGCACAGACCCCTGCTGCAGTTTTATTAAGTCCAGATGTTTCCCCGTGTGGTAGACTTCAACACTGACAAATATGAAGGGTGAGAGTGAGAGCAATACAGTACTACCAGGAGACTTCAACAGTCCATGTTCAGTTATGAATACATCATCTGGACAGAAAATTAATAAGGAAGCAGCAGACTTCAACAACATTTTAGATCAAATATTACTAACAGGCATGTACAGAACTTTCAACACCACAGAAGGAAATGATGACAGTGAGTAATGTGACCTTGTATTGTCATAATTGATGGTCTGGCAAATTAATCAAGATGAGGACTGACAAATTTCTGGGGTTGCTTGCCCAAATGTCAACTGTGGACCTAGGTCATTTGCACATGTGTAGGCACCATGGCCAAGAGTGGAGAAGATACATTTCTGGGCGTCGTTGACACAGGAGTTCAAGGCACTGTGACTCCCCGTCCTCTGGGTGAAGTCCTGTTAGAGAATAGGATTAGATTGGGAGAGTGTGGAGATGAAACAGTCGATGGGATTAAGGTAAACATCTGCATTGAAAGTGGAATGTTCAAACAGACTTTATGTGACCTGGTTGCACCTCTTTCCCCTGAATGTTTTGTTGAGATGGATATTATGTCTGACTGGGGACACTTCCCTTACCTAGTATTATAATGCAGAAACTTTGTAAGTCTTGCTTCTGCCAGTATTAACAATACGTGCTAAATGGTTACCTATAGAATTCCCTGATCCCACACAGGTTTTAATTTGAAACAGAATTGGACGTCTAGGGGATAAAAAGAGTTTAACATGTTAATTAATGACATGTTAAAAGTTGGAGTGCATTTACTGGAAATTGTCTTTATGTTAGCCCTCTGTGGCCTATGAAGAAGGCAGATGGTTCATGGGAACCAAGAGCAAATTCTCAAGGCTTGAACATGAGAACATATGTGGTGGCTTTTGGGGATGGATAAGTTGTTTCTGTAAGTCTATCCCAACCTTACACTGGGTCCTCTGGATGGTAAGCATATTTATGCTTATACCAATGCTGTATCTTTATATAAATGGTAATTTAAATGTAGGTGCTCAGAAAAATCTGACTGTCTTTCCATAAGAGAGGCTAGAACAAGGGCCAGGTGGGTGGCCTGTGCAGGACCCAGTGGACTATCAGGGCTGGGTTGCCCAATCCCTGCATATCCCTGCAAGAGCCTGCCTTCAGGGCTGGCTCCTCGCTGAGCATCTCTACACCTTTGTAATATTTGTCCTGATGAGAGCGTTTTATATGCTGGAGGCCTTGGGCCATGCCACATCAGTTTGATAAGTTAGTTCATGCTAACAATGTGACTTATGGAGAAGACCTCTTTTTGCTCTGCGGCTCTGGAGTCTGAGTAGAATGTAACTAACAGTGGAGATGAAGGTGGGGGGAAGGCAGGGTGTCCAGATGTAAATCTGCCCCTCTAGGGTGGCCAGGAAGGGCTGGGAGACAGAGGTCACTCAGGACCACCACCTAGGTGGAGGAGAAGGGGAGGTAGGGGACGGCCTTCCTGTGTGGGACGGGGGCTTCCTCTGCCTCAAGGACCTGGGCTCTCCCCATGTCTTTCAAGCTCAGGAGGTAGATGTTGTGGAGCAAACATCTGTCTCACGTGTGAGGTTGGTGTCACAGAGGAAGAGAGAAGAGCCCAGGACTTTCCCCCAGACCCTGGTGTGTGACCTGGAGCCCAAGTCAGTTTCCATTGCATTTACCCGTCTGAATCCCGGACACCAAAGGGACATCGCTGATCAACTGCTCCTACTTATTATTATTCAGAGCAGAAGAGAAAGATGTTACCTTACAGATTACAGAAGCTCACTGAGTTAAATATTCTCCCGTTAAGTTGAAATATTCCCCTTATTGATTCAACAGCCGCGTGTTCCCTAGACTTGCCCACAAGGAAGGTGTGCTTCCCCCGTTTCTGCTCGTCCCTCATTGGAGACTTCCTGCTGCTCTTGCCTCTCACTGCTGCTGCTTTTTCCACCAGAACTGAGGTATTTGGCGCCCTCAAGGGCTGGGGGCCAGAGTCTAAGCACAGTCCGCAGACCCCTGTGACCTGAGCTCAGCCTGGGGACCCTCCCTGAGCAGCGGGAGATTGCCCTGCACTCTCCACAAATGGGCTCCCGTGAATTCCACTTCACACTGGAAATGGCCCGGGGCCATCCAAGCCCAACACCGCGGATGAATGTAGACACTGGGTCCATAAGGAGGAGATGCGTGGTCATGAAGTTCACATGCCTGAGACACCAATGACCCCACGGTCAGTATCCACAGCGTCCCCGACTTCCAGAAATGGTTTAATGTGCCTCTTAGGTCATCAATAACAGAGGATAGAGAGGCCAAAATCTTCAGACTACAGGGTGTGCTCCCTGGAACCAACAATTACGATTGAGACTGGAGACGAACTTAAAAAAGACAACCTGAAAAATGGGAACAAATGACACTGTGCATGGCATCAAGGAAATTTCAAGAATGACAAATAGACACAGGTAAACAGGATCAACATCTTATTCAGGAGGATACAAACAGGAGGACCTGACAAAATGCCTCTACCCTCCCAGTAGAACCAAACCTCTGAGGCTTTGCTGAGGATTGGGCAGAAATGAAACTCTTTATACCACTGTTTCTGCTGTAAGATGATGCAGTACCATATCCCATAGCACCAAACAGTATCCTACGTGTATGAGCAGGATCTGTATGTGGAAAAGTAAAAAATGTATTGATGAAGTGCATCAGAGGAAACCTACATTACCGGACAGCTGTACCGCATCCACAGATTGGAAGGCTCAGGATCGTCAGTT